ATTCTGTGACGTATTTTTTAAATCACTGAAACTTTAGTATGAGAAATTCTTGAGTAGTAGGAAAACAAATACAACAGTAGCAAGGGATGTTGCTATATTCAGGGCAATTTTTCAGAGGATAGTAGGAAAAAAGCATACATGTTTGGGAAATCAGAGTGTTTCCAAGACATCATTAAGTCTGGAGTCCTTGGAGGCCACGCAGACTTAGTGGCAGATGATAAAAACTTTGAAAAGCTTACTCAGAAAGTTCTGGTTTTTGCTTTACAAATTTTCTGAAAATCAAGAATAATGAGGAAGTGTTTCATTTTCTTTCTGCTGGAGAGAAAGAAGCTGCAAAATATTTATAATTGTAAAAAAAAAAGGTCACTTTCTATAACTTGTAAAATGGTGGCTTGTTTTACAACAATTAATACAAAGGAGTTTTTCTGTAGTTAAGAGGAAAAATAATGTATTTGTATGTGCATTATATGCAGAAGCAAATATTTTCGTAAATATATATCCTCCTTAAGAGTGAAAGGCTGCAGTGTGCTGATACAGTTATGCAGATCTTTGTTGAGCCAAGTAAGAAAATGGGGAAGGAAGCCTGGGATTATTGTGGAATTTGTGTCTAAGAGACTAATTTATTGAAAAATCTCTTGGGTCTACCATACATGGATGGGAGTAATTTTAATAGTAGATCATAGAGCCCCTGGCAGAGGAAAGTAAGGAAGGATGCTTTTTGTGTTGTCTGGTAGTATAACTTTCTTTCTAATGTCAGCAGCCATTCAGCATACTATGCCAATAGGATTAAGGTGTTGCAGAAAAAAAAAAAGAAATTGAGCAATTCAATTCACCTCTAAGCAAGTGCTTATTCAGCCAAGTGATGTTCAAGAGTAATGTTTATTAATACATTGAAAAAGAAAAAAATTGCTATAATACCTAGCCATAATTAGCATTGAGATACTATTTAATTTGAGCAAGCAGAATTGCACAAAACCAAATACAACCAACAAAACATAACCTAACAAAAAAACCTACTACCCAACACCCCAAAAAACCTGCTAATTATGAATAATTGTCCTTCTGCTAATGTTATGAAAAGTGCTGTTGATTAAAAGGCTATCAGTTTCAGTTCCTGGATAATAAAAAATGTGTGAAAAGTGTTAAACGTTGCTGTATTTTGCAGTGAACAGAAGGTCAGTAGTCTCCTCCTCTGCTGTTGCAGTTGCACTCTTGGGGAGATGAGGTGTGAAGCTTGGGATAACCGAGGGGTGTGTCCATGTGAGCAGGAGCTGCTCATCTGCCTGTGCAGGGAGAAGGCAGCAGCTGCTGAGTATGGCTGTGCCATGCACTGTACCCGTGTACCAGGCAGTGCATGTTTGCTCCTGGGGTCACAGCAAATTGCACACAGCATTTTTGGGGCTCAGTGAATGTTAATGAAGAGGAAATTTGGCGTTACTTTGTACCGTTTGATTCTGTGAGGAGCAAGGACGTGCTGATGAATGTACATGATGTAACTTGATGAATGTACATGCCATGGGACATCTTTGCCTGTATCAGCCCCCCAAAAAAGAGATCAGTAGAGCTTTGCTCAAAGTATGTATTATCTTGACTGTAATTAATAGTGCTAATTTCCCTTCCACTTAATATTGCTTGTAACTGTTAGAGACAAATGATACAAAATTGTATTCAAACATGTTAACCTAGCCAGATAAAAATCTTGGCACAGTAGTGAACACACAGTGAATGCTCTGTATTGTGCTGGTTTTGCTTTACAGGTTCAAAAGCTCTCTAATTTCAAAAGCAGCTTAAAATTTTTTGGTTTTGGACTAAGGCTGTCTTATTTTGATTTGAAATGTGTTTTGAACATAAATTGGCTCTTGTGAAACGTGGGGATTCTGTCATGATGTTTCTGGATTTTTACATGCTGGATTCTGGTAAAACCAGCAGCCAGATTTCTTTATTTGTTGGAAAAGTCAGAAGATTTTTCTTCCTTACCTAAGAATTTTGGAAGAGCCCCTTTGGGAGCTACACCATGCCCTCATGGTTGTGACTAAATCAGGTGCATAACAGCTCTTTGTGATACCATAAATGGGAAGGTTTTTATTGTACTGGGTTTTTCTCCCTTCCATTTACTGTCAAAACTGACCTTTCACATACTAGATACTAGCAGCATTTTGAGCAAGACCTGGAGATTTTCCCTTCTTGGTGCTTTCAGAAAGCCAGGGGCCAATTAGATACTTTCTCTATAGATAAGTGAATGAGGCAATGGATACAAAACAGCCCAAGGCTTCTGGCTAAGCATGCAAACATCAGAGATAATTTTGGAAGGAATTTTTTTGGTTTTTTTTCCCCAAATCCTCAGTCATTCCCTTGTCTCAAGAGAAGTTTTATTTCTGAAGGAATTCTTTTAAATTACTCTATTTAATCACAGGGTTGGAGAGAGATTTGATGGAGTTTTTAACAGATATTCTTGTAAGGGAATTATGATTTGTTCCTTAATACTGTAAATCTCAACAGATTGAACAGCTGTTTACATCCTCTTTCACTGATATTGCATTCATTTGGTACTGCACCTAAGTGGAGTAAAACTTCAGTTTCCCTCTGAACTCGTTAATGTTCTGTAAGACAAGGTGTCAGCATTGTAGGGCCGCTGCTCTGTGCCTGATATAATTTGTACTGAAGTTTATAGTGTTCTGTTTCCAGCTTAAGGGGGGGGCTTTTTGTTATCAGGATCTTTTCATTTCCTCTCTTCTCCAATCCCCTCATGTCTCTCCCTTCCTCAGACATTATATACCAAGAATAAGAAGTGAAATGAAAATTGGATATTCAGCAGGCAGTAAAAAGAGAAGCATGCTTTTGTATTAATCAAAAAAGGATCTGTTGTGGAGCCAAGTCACTGACCTCTCCTTCTCATCCATCATGGGACTTTCAGGCAGAGCTGTGCTCATGGTGAACATGCCTGTTGTGAGGAAGTTTGCAGACATGTCCTATGAGCACACACAGGACTCACTTGAGCCCTGGCATATTGGTCTTAGGTCCCTTATGATTAATCCACCTTTCACTGAGGCGTTTAGGTCTCACACTGCAACTGTGTGAGCTTTTTTTTGATTGTTGCTTCCTGCTGAAGCCTATACAGAGTATTCCACAGTTGTGAGGGTCACAGAGGACTAAACAAGATGCTTCTTGGTCTAGCTGTAACCATGGTTTACATGTACATGCTGAGTGCAGTCTAGGGCTCATTGTGGAGGTCAGAGAAGGCTGTGCTAAACCAAACTCTACCTCTTCCCTAAAACCCTCCAGGACAAGCATAACCACAGTGCCCTGCTGCTAAAGCTGTTAAGAGCCACTCAGAGATGCCAAGGCAAATCAAGGGGAGGAGAGAGTGGGGAGGAAAGAAGGGTAACAAGGTGGTGTAGGAGCCCTGCTATTTTAAGCACTCTTGCCCACAGAGTATCCATTAGGTTTCCAAACAGCCACTCAGAAGCATTTTGTCTGAGATGGCAGCATGGCTTTCTGAGCCTTATGTGGCTCAGAAGGGGCATATGCTCTGCTGTGTTGGTCTTTGAGGCTTAATGCATACACTGCATTTGTCAGCTGTGATACCCTTTTGGGCTTTGTGGTTATAGGTTCATCAAGTAAGGCCTATTTTATTTAGCAATCAGCATTTTAATTGCACATAAGCCTCTGTATCTGTAGTTGCTGCAGCAAGCATCTCTATGAAGAAGCCTTAAGATGTCATAATATTTGAAACAGAAAAATATGCATTTTTTGCTAGAACCTGTAATTTAGGCAGCAAAATAATTGGGTGGGAAGCATCTCTTATCTTTTGTTGAATATGATATGAAAGACAGTTACAGCTCTTCAAACCTGGCTAAAACTATGAATTATCCTAGAATATTTGTGTGGATCTAATTTAGGCAGCTGTCAGAGAGAAATATTTTAGATTCTTTATATTGTTTTGCAGAGGTGCTGTGGCTGTTTCCAAAGACTTATTTTTAATTGCATGAAATGAGGGAAACATGTATAGCACAGTAGTAGCACACACTGTGGAGATGTTTGTACCAATTAACTGGTTCCATGAAGAAATTATTCCTAATGGAGGGAAAGAGAAGTTTGGATGGACTTTAACCATTTTTACAGCATCCTTGAGAGAGATGTGTACCAGAAGCTCTAGGAGGTGTGTTACTTCAAATGTTGGTATACCTTCAGGTTACTGTAGGAATTATTCTTTGCATTACAGGAGCACTGGGGGTATGGGTGTGAAAACTTAATTTTATCTTCTTTTTCATTAAAGGGCATATTCAAAAATCATTCCTAGCTAGCCTGATTCTCAGCCTGAGGCTTCAACATCCTGCCTAGTGTCCGTTTTCTTGCTTTGATGCTCACCCATTGTATTTTGGATGAGTTTGGTATGATGCTTTGCCTGAGCTGAGCTGCTCCACCTGATGGTGGAAACAAGAACATGCCTTCTCTCAGGCAGTGAGGATTTATTTGAAAAAACGTGATCTAGGGGAAATTATTTAGTGCTGTAAGTGTATGCTGTGCACTGCCTTAATCCAGGAGACTTACTAATGATGTGCTGTCCCCTTTATACTGCAATGTAGAACAGATAAGGCTCTGTAAAGATGAAGGATGGATCCTATATGGAAGAATGCCTATATATAATGGCACATGCAAGGAATCTTTAAAACATTTAAGCAGGCTGAGGTCAAAATTTCCTGTGCTATTGAGAATATAGTGTGAGATCTGACCATCCAAGCACGAGCTGGTTGCTTTCAGCCTGCACTCTTGCAAAAGTGAGGTCATGGGATACCAACAAAAACAGACGAGTTGCTCTAATGCATGCTGTGAAACTCTGAGAAGTCTCCTTATTCTATTCAGTTTTCATAGCCTCTATCAAAAAATGTGAAATCTAAGCTGTTCATGTATTTTTTTCCTTCATTAGTATTAAACATATACACTTAACATAGCACAAAGTGGTGTGTACAGACTTTTGTTTTGCTTTTTCTTTCTTTCAGACACCCTGGCTCTGGAATACCAGGCAGTGCTGGAGCGGATATCCATATCAGGTAAAAGTTACAGTGCTGTCTAAAAACAAGCACGACACTTTTGCAGACCTCTGTTTTTATTATGGTGGAGCTTTGTGCCAGTAGGTTTGTGTGAATGGGCTGCGCTGCTCAGCATTTTAGAACATTGCTAGATTCTTCCCATCTTGCTTGAGTTCAGGATGGGAAAGATGAACATAGCTGTCACACCTGAATTGCACACATTAAATTCCAGAAGCTCCAGGGAAGAGTTTGCAGTTTAAGAAATTTAACCTGTCTAGGGTATTTTTTTTTCCCCTAAAGAGCAGGGGAGGGGGGAAATTGTCTGACTGGAAAGTGTGAAGAAGAGTATTGCCTGAAAGACACATAAATCCTTGTGTCAACAGCCCTTAACAGAACAGAGACTGCATAGAACTATGTTTGGATGCTTTGGTTCTTGATGGTTGTCTCTCTTTTGGAAATAGTTCTGTGGAGACAGTTCAGCAGAAATATTGATCTGAGAAAGGTTGAAGGAATTTGGTCATGTAGCCTCAGAAGAAATAATGACTTAAATTTCATGCAGAGACTGGAGAGTGAACTGAGAGTGAAAGTGGCAGCAGAAATTGAATGGGGGAAGTGCTGAAATTTAATCCCTCAGAACCTTTAGGTAGAACTGTTTCTTAGATTGATATAGCTACACTTACTGGTGCCTCTCAGCCCCATTTCCTTCTTTTTTGTGTTATTACATGCAATAAGAGGTTGACTGAAAACAGAAGACCATGAAGCTTACTGATTAAAGAAAATACATTTACCAGACTTAGCCGAAGATCAAGGTCATTTAGAAAGTTGGTTGCAACTTTCAGAGTATGGGAGCTAAAATTACTATAATTAATATCATTCTAGTAGTGGTAAGGATCCAACATAAAGTAAACTGTCAAATTAAAGTAATTATGAAAATAATTGTCTTGAAGATAAAAATGTCTACTGGGTGCTAATCAGGGCTGAGTACTGGATTTTCAATTTGTTCTGTTGTTTTTTTCCATAGCTATATCAAATTTCTAATCTTTTGTTTGCTATGACTCCTTTGTAAATTACTCAACAATGCACTCTAGAAAGACAGCTGGACTTTACTGTAGATGCAGTCAAATGGATCGTTTAGGTGGCAACACAGCCATAAGCACAGGTTAACCTATTGAGGTTAAGTCTATGGAGAACTGGAACCTTACATTTGAACTAAGTTAAACACAACATCCAAGAAGGTGATGCCTTTAGAGACTGACCTGGAACAGAGGCTAGACAGAATTAAGGGAATAAAGTAGGTATTTATAGAAAGGCCTTCAAAGGATACACCTTGGGCAGTACAAGATCCTGGCCGTGGCTGCACACAAGATGGATCCAAGATAAACACAAGATGGATCCTGGTCACACGTTTATGTTTTGGTCCATCCACACATTGGGGTCAATTGTACAGTTAGAGCTTCAGGTTATGAAGTCCCATCCTCCTGGCTCACTCCCCTCAACTTGCTGTTTTTTATGCTTTTTGGGCCTGAAGCTTTAATGGTGTCCTTGGTTCTGGGGCTGGAAAAGGATTGTTTTGTCCAACTACCCTGTGAAGAGAACTTCCTAACACTTACTATGAAGTTCAGAGTCCCACAGCAAGGCAGCACAGAATCTGAGAAATGTGAAAGCTAAAACTTAAGGCATCAAAGGAATCAGTAACATCTTTAGAATTGCCCTACACTATCACTGTGTATGGCTTTAGAAATGCTATTGTTAATAAAGCAGCTGACAATCTTCGTTTTTTACTAGAAATTTTCCCTAGTGAGTTCCCTTGCAATAATGAGTATAATAGTTGCAGTTCATTGCAAGCTCTAATTTTCTTTCCCTTTTTTAATTACACATAATTGAAAGTCTGTTGGCAGTCTCTCTAAGCCCACATTTTCATCATGAGCTGATGAGATTATATGCTAGTGTTAATTTTTTTCTAGTCTACTCTAGCATTGTTTTTTGGTTTTTTTTGCTATGCTTTAAACCCACATTACTGATATACAGCAAGATAAAGTAAACTTTCAAAATAGACTTAGAATACTCATAACTTAGTTTGCTCTGGGTTCCAAATGAACATCATCATAATTTTTGGATTACAGTATTCTCAGGGCTGAAACATTAGAAGAGAGTATGTTGAGGAGCTTTATTTTTCCAGAGCCATCAAAGTTTGAAAGAGGCAACCATAATCTTTTTTTTTTTACATAGGATGCATAGGCATAATTCAATAATCCCCTGTGATTAAACATGTCTTCTATAGACCACAGCTGCCTGTAATGCCAGTTAGACTCTATTAACCTTTTCCCATCTCCATCTTTCAGCCACTGATGCCTGACCTTCATTACTACTACATAGTTGAATTGTCATTCTACTGGTCCTTAATGTTTTCTCAATTCATTGACGTCAAAAGAAAGGTAAGAACAATGAGACTAAAAGCACCAAAAGCTTTAAGCTTTAACATATCGTTCTTTACTTGAGGAATACCTGTATTACATGTGCAGTAAACTGGATATACAGTTGTTTCTAGTGTTCAACTGTTGCAGATACTAATCACTGAGAAACTGGGATTGTCTTGTTCTGTTCCTTGTTACTATAATGTGAGGTTTTCTGCACGTGGAAAGAAGAGCCTGAGAAAATATTGAAGGGCAAATAGCAGAAGCCGAAAGAACTTTCTGCTTTCATGCAGTGACTTGAATGGAATTGAACAAGTAGTATCTGGTAGATGTACTGTTTCTTCTAAGAGTTAAACAATGAAATACCAAGAAAAGGGAAAGACTGCCTCTTAAATTCACAGTATCACTTTGTGAGATAAGATCTATGAGGGCTTTCAGTTTTTTTCTACAAAAGGACAGCAAAAACATTTAATATTAAGAAGTGATGTTATATTTAATTTTTACCCTTGCAGTCATGCAAGTGAGCTTGGCTATTAGAGGGTTGTTAATGAAAAAAAAATTCTTCCCAAATAGAAATATTTTTCCAGAACTAGTTGCAACCTGCTTCATATTCCAAGTTCTCTCCTCTGAGAAGCATCCTAGTCAATAGCAGGACAAGCAGCACAACAGTCCATTGAGCTATTTTTGCAGGGGCTTTAATGTTTCAAAATCAATTTTCTTAAAAATTTGAAAGGATTTTGTAATATCTTTATGGGCTTACCTCAGCTGTCATTTAAATAAATGACAGGCTATGCTAATGGAAAAATTCCTGTTTGTTAGAATTTTAGCAGTAGCATAACTCTGAAAAGAGTAAATGAAGGATGCAGTATGACCTGAATAAACTTACCAGTCATTTAGAACCACAGTATATTCCTGGGAGTTCTATGCCAGAGCTACCTATCTATAAACACACTTCTCTATTTGGATTTCCAGATTATTCCAGAGGTAGAAATCTCAAGAAAACATCCACAAAATTTAAATCCATATTAGAGGATAAATTGTAAATAAAACAACCAGTTTATGATTAATACATAAAAATCCCTTGCTTGCATTGTCTGTAGATGCTAAACATTCTGAGCTTGAAATGAGTATAACTTCCCTATTTTACAAACCAAGATAATGAGAAACAATTCTCAAAGGAGCTGTATGATAGTGGAGATGAATTTAAATCAAGAGTTATATTGACTAATATGTTAAACTGCAGGGGCCAAGTCTGTTTCTTAGTTATATATAAATGACTTGTTATCAGAAAAAGTTTAGGGCAAGCTGCTGTGGAAATAGGATGGGACATGGAGGTGGGAAAGTGGATTGCTAGCAGCCAAGAACACCCCAGCCACAGCTTTGTGATGCTTGAGCCCAGAGCACCAGATCCAAGTGATGACCCAAGCACCTGCTGTGTCTGAAAATGTGCAGTGTCCAGCAGAGAGCAGGAACACAACATCTGCAGTGAGAGCAAGTCAAAAGCCTTTCATTATCAGCACCCAGCAGGGAACAGTGTAGATGCCATATTTATAAATAACCCATTAGATCACTCACCAGTTTGGACTGTGGAGGCAGCTCTTTTGGTAGTGTAAGCAAAATTGATAAAAAGGAAGATCAGATTGGAGAAAGGCAGCTGTGTCACACAGTAAAAGTGTTTGGAGTGCAAGCTGCCAAAGAAACCCACTGTGTTGAAAAATGTTAGTACTGAAGACTTGCAGTAGTTGACAAAAAGGAGTACAAGCTTGACAGAGAAACCAGTTCTTGCAACACCATAGTAGTTCTCTTTTAAAAGAAGGCTTAGTTTAAAAAAAAAAAAAGTGGAAACCTTGTAGTGCACCCAATATGCAATGTGTGCAATGGTGCCCATATGAAATAGGGATCTGTTTAACAGGAAACAGGAAATCTGCTAGCTAATATCAGATGCTATTGTAATATTTCACAATTGGCTTGTATGGAGCAGATTTACAGTTCTCAACCATAAGCTGAGTTAAGTTGTTGATGTTTTCATGTTACAGTGAAAGGAATATTTTTATCTAAGTCTTGGTTATCATTTTAGATACTTTAAATTCAGCAGCAGTGGCTGTGTTATATTCTGGAATGGTCAGAAGTGCCCAGGCAGTCTTGTGTGCTGCAGGAATTCAGCCAAGTGCTTTTTTCATGTAGCTGGGTTTGTCTGAAGGAGAGGTGCAGTGTGTCCTTGCTGGAAGCAGCAGCCCTCAGCATTGGCCTAACTCCAGCCCTGGTCTTGTACTGACTATAGATCAAGAGGAATGTACTTGTTATTTTCCATCTCCATTTTATTCTTCCCTGCTAGCAAATTGATGACTTAAAAAATGACTTCCAGGAGTTTTTTGACTTTCAAATACTTGTTTATCTTTATTTATGTGTTACAAATTCCACCAGATTTTCTTTGCCTGACTGGAGGTGTGAGCAAATTAGACGTTGCACAAACCTGCTATTGGCATTAAGTCAGCGAACTGTGTATGAACTTCTACAGTTTTATAATGGCATGATTTTAGGTTCATAAATATCTACTATGTTACTGTAATGATATTCTCCCTTAAGGATGTTAATTTTCAAAGACTAAAACCTAGTATGCAGTGGTGTTTTATCATCTTTTTCCAGTTTCCCATGCTTCGGTTTTGTAAAACACTTAAAAAAAAATTATGGAAGTTTGTTGGTTTCACAAGCACCCAATGAACCTTAAAAGCAGTAAGGCTTATTTACATGCTTCCTGGACACCTGATGTATTGTTTAATAGAAAAATATTTGACACATTTGATACATTTAAAGGAATGTATACATTTTCTACTCAGTGTTTTAACAGGTCTGTAGAAGGTCTAGGAGAACTTTCTGTGGATTCACACCTTTTATTTCCAAGCATTTGGCAACTCCTAGAGCTTCTGTGTTTTATTTTTTTTTAAATGACAGTTCACTCATTCCAAGAATAAAATGTTCTGTAGCTGCTAATTTTCTTGAATACTGAGTTTTGATTCTAGAAAATTTACATCATATTTTGCTAAATTTGGATACTAGATTTCTTTCTTCAAAGAGACGTTTCTTGGTAAAGAAAGACACAGAATTGATTTCTTTTGTTTGAGGGGAAGCTGTTTAGATTGCATATATTTGCCAGACCTTTCCCTGTCCTTGTTATCTGTAATATAAGCCATGAATATGATATTTTGCCCTTCAGTGGCACTAATGCTCAGTGGCCACTTGGCAGTTCAGTCAGTGAGTGTGACATGTTAAACAAATGTGGGCGGCAGAGGCCTTAATTCTGGAGGGCTTGTCTCCAAGTTGAGACCCATGGAGTTTCTCTGCTGTCTGCTCTGTGTTCTTCCCACTGCTGTTGTGTAAAACAGGTTCTTTCTCCTATTCTTAGCCCCAGATTTTCTTAACATAGGCACATGACATCTTCCAGCAGTTACAGCTGGAGGCTGTGAATCTTCTGTAAGTAAATACGTCTTTCACAAACATACATATGATTTGAAAGACATTATCTTAAAAAAACCCCCAAAATTAAAAAGCCCATTCCTGTACAGCTGCTCTTCCACTATATATGGGTGAAAGTGCTGGAGTAAGCTGGGAAACAGGTACCACTTGGTATTTATGTATTCATTACCCTTGTGTATAAATAAAATCTAACAGATTGCATCTTCAGAGCATAGTATTAATTAATGACCTGAGGAAATGTCACAAACAGGAAAGAAACAATCCCAATAACAAAGCAGTTTTATTTATATCATTGCTACTTATTTCCATCCGTTTTCCATGGGTCACTCCAACACTTCTCTTTCAGAGGTGACAGAGTCAAGTAACTGTGTCTTTTAAGAAACATTATTACAGAAGGAGTTCCCCTATCTTTCTTTAAGAAGACTCACGTAAAAATGCAGAAGGCTGCTGCCCAAGAACATTAGGATTGCTTAGGAATAATCCATATTGTCAGGAATGCCTTGAAGAATATCCAAGAGGGACTAGAAATCCAGTATTTGTAGAACATGAATGTGTCAGCTGTGAAAGCAGAGGAGATTTTCTACTTGACTTTTTGCCCCCTTAGGACTGCCTATGTGCTAACATAATTGCATTTGGAAGGAAAATTAAGAACAGTGCCATAGTACATGCAGGTGAAGGAGGTTAAGAGCTAGGCTGCAGTATGGCCATAGGGCAATACTAGTATTTTACATCTAATCCCATGGAATAAGGTAGGTGCTTTGCTGGTTTTATTATTGTAAAATGGTGAAATGGTTGCCATGTGTGGGTTTGTAGTTACTGAAATGACTGAGATGCTATACCCTTGTTTTCCCTGAGGACACTTAGAAAGGGAAACAGCCTTTAACTGTCTTTTTGTCTGTCTGCTTGAAGAAAATGGATTTAAAGCAAAGGTTTGATATGACTTCTGAATGTATTTTACTGTGTTCCATGGTTCTAGGGGCCAGATAACCTGGCTGAGAAATGCTGAGTGTATACTAAACTGGCATATGAGTCTCTACTTGTAGTCATTTTATCTTTTCTCACATTCCCTGCCTTCCTACACTTCCTAAGTTTTGTGTTGGAGGTACTGGTGGTGCCTACTGAGGAGTAGGAAATAGGATCTTGTAGCACCTGATAGCATTATACATAAGTGATAGGCTGGGAGCAGATGCTGTCTCTCTTCATTTAGTGAGACTGCTCAAGCTGCAGGTTTTTCCATGGACTGCAGGTACACGTTGCAGGGAAGGCATGGCTGCTGTATGAGAGGCAGTGGCACTGCATGTCCTTAAAAACAGAGATGCCTGCTACATTCCCAAAGAGAGCTGTGGGAACACTGTGCAGTTACACTCCTCACTACTGAAGAGACCGTGCACTCAGGGGCTGGAGCTGCTGCTTTTCTAGACCTGCCCTTGTGTTAGCTGGAGCTCATGGCACTTTCCATAGGGCCCTCCTGCCTGACACAGGTACCTTCAGTTCCTCTGCAAACCAGGTAGTGCCCCTCTAAAGGCACAGTTTCAGTTTCTCTGTTGTGGGCCACTTAGCTGAAGACTACCACAGCTCAGCAGGACTGGCCCACAAAAGCTATCAGAAAGCCAAATTCCACCTCCCAATACTCTAGGTGAGCAGGCTGCCTGAAGGAACTGCTCCTTTTGACTGGATCTCTCTCCTTTGACAGCTCTGCATGAGACCCACTATATCTGCTGGGAGCTGTGCTACAAATTTTGCATCTGGTGCATAGAGAAACTTCCCAGTTAAATGTTGCCTGTGATCTTTTCTTAAGGGTTTTTATATCACTTTCTCAAAGCTGTGCAGGTAGTTCAGCAAATACCAACAAGATTTATTTCTGACTGACTTGGTGCCTTGCTGAGAAGAGTCTCATCTCTGCAGGACCTGTTCTCTCATTAATCAGTCTGGGAGCCTAGTCCAGGCAGGCAGTTTGTTCCCTCTGCTTTATCTGCTCCATGGCAAGTATCTGGGAATGTGATGTTACTTCTGGGAGCTTCACTGCTCCCAGGTTTTTCAATAGTAAGTTATTTTCTGGCCAAATAACTGAAAGTTACTGATGTGGAGACCAGCTAACCTGCATCATTTGGTAGGCAGTGGATTAGAGCCAGTTAGGAGGAGATGCACCAACTCATTTGAGACTTTTCTGACCCTGTTACAGTGTGAAGACAAAGCACCTTGATTAAAAGCAAACAAATAAAAGCCTCGATCTGGGATTCTATTCTCTCAATTGTCCCTGGCAGGTGCCTGTTGTCCTAGTGCAGAGGAAATGTGTTCAGCCTTTGTTTGTAGCCATTTTCTCTCTTCTGAATGGCGCATTATTTGGCACTTGGTTATGCATATTTTTATAATTACATGTTACTTGGTGCATAAAAAGTATGGCGGAATTTGATTTGCATGTACATATGCCTTTTCAAAGTAACTTCAACTGCAAATGTTTACTTTATTAGGTTAAATTACTATGAACTGAGAAGTGTGGTCATTGCCCAGCTTTCAATAATGTTTTTGCATTTGATTAACATACAATGATTATTTTATTCAGTCTAAATTAAATATAGAGCAGGGTGCATACTGCACTTACATAATAGATCTTTTTATAACTTAACTATAATGCTGGATTTAAGAAACAAGCATCCATTTTTGTATATGAGTACAGAATATCATTGTTTGCTTCATCATTTTTTTTGGTTTTTGTGTCTTTTCCTTGCTTTTGCTGCTCTAGGATTTTGGGATCATGTTTACACATCACATTGTAACAGTCACCCTGATTACCTTCTCATATGTAACCAATTTGACACGAGTGGGAACCTTGATCTTATGTCTCCATGACGCGGCTGATATTGTCCTAGAGGTGAGATAATTTGTATGTCATCCTGTCAGCAGGTAGAATCTTTTTGCTATGCAGAACAAGTGTTTCCTTAGCCAGTTCAAGATGGTAATGCTGATTAATACAGTGAATTTCCTTGCTTAAATATCTTGTGCTTGTAGCAGCACGTTCTTCTGATTTCAGACTGGTTTATCCCTCAATATGTTGCTTGTACAGAGCAGAGACTGGTAATGCATTGCATGCCAGGGAGGGTTACTTTCAGATTTTAAATACAACATGGTAAAATCAAAAGCTGAAGTTGCAAAATCTGGAAAGTGATGAAAGTGGGTCACCTGGTTCTTAAACTGTGACATGATGTGTGGAGTAGTAACCCTGTCTCCAAAAGAATCAAGGTGTCATAGTGTGTTTCTGCTCTGCTTTGCTGGGCAGAAGGTGTTGGACAATTTAGTGGCTTATTTGGGCGTGGCCAGTGAGCTGACCTCTGATTTTCCAGCTTCCCATGACTCTGGATCCCAGTACCAGCATTAAGCAGCTGTATTTGGAGAAGAAGGGATGATTGAAATTCTTTTAAGTCAAGATGTTCTGTAACTTCCATAGTGGCAACTTAGAGATGTCATCATCAGTTACTAGACAGCTCTGGGTCATCTGAAATTTGGCTGTCTCTGAACTCTCCTCCAAAGTTAATAACTATTTTGTCTGAAATCATTTTTTATTCAAGTACCTGCAAGGATACCTGTTATGCAAGAATATAGACTCATTGAGTGAGTCACCTATTGCAAAATCAAGATTCTGCCATTCTGATTCAGTAGTGCTGTAAATAAGGTTTTAATTTTTAATCTTTTATAATCTACAAGGCACATGCTGCCTGAGATAGAAATCAAAAGAGAATGTGGATTTTTCATTATAAAAATAATCACATCTTTGCAAGTTTATTTTTCTGTTTTAGCAATGTGTATAGCTAGCTGTGACTTCACCTAAACTTTCTTCATTCCTCTTTTCTCACCACCAGAAAGAAGTACTTAAAGATGTTTATTCTAGGTCAGACCAGTGTCTGTGGAACTATAAAAACACTGGAGAGCAGCTATACTAGTCTAGCTAAAACTTTACCCTATGTCCATTCACTAAGACAAAGAGGAATTACTGGTTTTCTCAGCAGAGTTGCAAACATTGACCAGATACACTTCATCATGGGCACATACTTAAGTGGTCTTTCTAATCAGTTCTTTCAGTGTGGTTTGACTGGAAATTCTGCTAGGGCAGTGGGTCACAACACTGATGCCTTATGAGAAGAGATGGACTCTTGCACACTGCTGACATTACTGAGGGGAAAGATAGTGCAGAGGAAGAAAACTATCAAGCTGCAAAAGAAGTTGGTTAAATATCTTGTCATGATGGGTCTGTTGTGTACCTGACCTCTGTTACGTATTACATATTTGTAAAAATGAAAAGATATTTCTGGAGGCCACTAGCCTCTTTCCATCTACCATCTCATAATGAAACACTCCCACTGGAAAGCTGGAAAGCACCATTTTTTGTTATTCTCATTGTGAAATGTGGTGTGCATTGGTGGGAATACTGGACGTGAGATTTTTTCCACAGGTCTTAAGGTTTCGGGAAGTATGGAAGAACTATAGTACTATTTTCAGGAATATGTAATACTGTGTTACTCAGTTGTAGTCATAGTTTTTAAACTCAGAAAAATGTGTTCTATTGTCTTAGGTGGCTAAATTCCATCCAACAACAACATATTCATTCCCCTTTTTTTGTAGTCTTTCTTTACCACTATAATTTGTAGAATTATTATAATTTGTTATTTGAGAACTGTTGTCCCAGTAGTTGTACTGTTTTTGAGAAATGACATGATGCTACAACAAGCTGCTATTGTAATATCAGCTTCATGCACTATGAAACCAGTTTTTTTAGACTGCCACCATGGAAATACATCCAAAATTCCTGGACTGAATTTTCCATCATCTGAAAAGCAAGGAAGTTAGTAATGCTTCTGCTTTGTATGTTGGCACCAAAATGTCCTCTTTTCCTTGAAACCAGGCTGTGAGTATGAACTGCTGGGAAATTCATTTGTGTCCTCTAGAAAATAGGGTTGATTCAGAAGGGTTATGTTTTCTTCACAGCACTAGTGGCTTTCCTTGTGTTCTGGGAGCTTCCTAACTTGGTTTCTTTAGTGAGACATATTCTTCATGTTCAGGTTTTTAGTGGGAACATTGTAGAAATTGGGTAACATCCAAAAGTGCAGGTTTGGTTTTGGCAGCCAGATTAGCTGTTTCTCTGGTTTGAATTCTGCGTTCAGAATCATATTCTGTATCCATAGTTGTGGTAATTTTCTCCCTCTTAGCACTCTGGAAAGCCTGCACAAGTACCTTCTGGGATACTGGGAGCTGGATGCAGGTCCCCTCAGAAAGGAGCTTTGAAAGGGTTCCCAGTGGCTTAACTGTACACAAAAGGGTACCCAGTGATTTAAGTGGACTCTCTGGATACATTTGACAGAAAGCATGAAGAAAGACTGTCCCTATCTCAAAGCAGATGTTATTTTAAAATAATTGACTGTTTGTACACATTAACACTGTGGAAGCAGCACATACATCTTAAAACAAGCTTCCTTCCCTATATACCATTTTCTTCCGGGAGAAAAGGGTAAAGAAGCTTCATGGAAGATCAGTGTTTTAATGAGCAGTTTCAGAGAAGAGTAATGAATTAATGAATCCTTCACTGGGAGAGTCGGAAGACTGCATGAAGACAAGTGAGAAAAGCATGTAAATATAAGCAGAAGTTGAAAAGAGAGCCTTGGAAAAAGACTTGAAAGGGAGGAGTATAATTTTTGAGGTGGAAACTATTCTGTATAGGCAGAAAAGGAAGAAGAGATGCTTTAGAAGAATGTAGTATATGGGGTGTACTGGAGGAATTGAGACAAAGTTTATCTATAGCTGCTACTATAAGGTCAGAGAGCATGGGGCACATGGAAGGCAGATGGATGCTGAAAATGCAAAGGTGAGAGATAAGCAGGTAAAAAGACTGGGGACAAAGACACTGTAAACACACTGGGGTTCAATAAAAGGTTTAGAAGAGTTTTGAGAATCTGAAATTGTAGAATCTCAAAAAGGAAATTGAATGGGAAATAAAGAAATCAAATACATACTCTAGTTTTATGTAGTCTGATTTGATTTTTTTCCCAAAGAGGCTATTTTCCAGCTGCTGGGTCGAGGGAGTTCCAAGATCACTGTGAGGTGGCCCAGTGAAAATATTAATGATGTAATAAAAATTTGATTTCTTCTTTTTCTTACAGCTTATACACAGTACAAGAGAACTCAGTTGTCGTCATGGAAGTAAAAAGACATATTTTTCTTTTGCAGGCTGCCAAAATGGCAAACTATTGCAAGTGTCAAAAACTGAGTGACCTTCTGTTCCTCACATTTGCTGTTGTCTTCATTGTCAGTAGGCTTGGCATATATCCCTTATGGTGAGTAAGGACGTTGTTTCCCTCAAATGCTAGGGACCAAACACATTTGGAAATAACTATGTTATAATTGAACACGATTCATTGCCATTACTCCGTTTCCCAAAGCACCAGGAAGAGTTTCAGATATAACCAGGTGCTGAATAGCCTATTTGCTAGAGTGCCATTTTGTTTACTGTGTGAAAGATGAGAAACATCTGGGGCTTCTGCTGGTTTTAAGGTAGAAGTGGGTTGGAGACAGCATAGCTTCAGACTAGCAGGTGGCCGGCTGTGTTGGCAAGAAATAAGAGGAAAATGAAAATATTAGTCACAAAAAAACCCAACCAGCAGCTCAGCTTGAAGCTAGGATATTCTCAATAGCTTTCAGTACATGCTTCACTAACACTTTCAGCTTAAAGAAAAACACAGTGGAATAAGTAAAGTCTGGCCTGCTGAAATTTGTATAAGGATGTTATTGCCGTGCAATTACAGATTGCAATACTGCAGGCTACTCCTTTTCCCCCTCTCCTTTGGGTTGGGGTTCCTGGGGCAGCTGTGTAACACATCTGTCTAGAAGGTAGTTACACAGCTCTTAGTGAAATCTCCCGTCTCCCCAGACACTCAGCTGCTTCCATGTGCTCACACTGTCCTGTAGGTACAAAGACATGCATGCACACAGACTGAACATAGATATTTGATTCTTTAGCTAGGATTTTCTGCATCGAGAGGGCAGATGGCTAGTTAGGAAACACATGGATTTACTTCACTGTAAAAATGCATTGAAGTTTTTCTGCAACCTGTTCACTATATATGAGTAGGGCTGAGAGGTGTTTGCCTGGGCTCTTTTCTATTCTTAATCCTTTCTTATACAGAACTAGCACAGATATCTGTACTTCTATGAAAGTAAAAGAGGTCTTTCATTGCATAAGAAGAAAACAATGACAGTTTTGTTCTTGGGAAGCACCAAGAATGCCAGAAATTGTATCCTTTGCAGAGTTTATTTGTATTACCACCGAGTTCCTTATTCAGATATGCAGAGGATTTAGAGATGCCAGTGTCAACCTCCCTGCCACAGTTTCCTTTTCAAACCTCTCTAATGATACCTCTTTGAGGTTTTGTTAATGTAAGCAGGGTACGACCAAGATGCCCTTAGGGAGCTGTGTCATCAGCTCTGCTTAACCCTACAACAAGAAGTCTCATTTAGCATTTGATGGCTCCCAAGATGTTATCATAATGCCTGGTCCCTACTGTGGTGTGAACAAACATGACAAAACATGAAAATGGATAGACACACAAACTGCATGTTTAGAAACACTTATTATTTTCTTCAAGGAGCAATTTTTTCTTTCTTAAGCAGTTTTGCTTCCCTTCCTCAGTCCTTCCTTGAAGCCAACTGGGCCATTCACTGAATTTCTGTAAATGAAATAAGCTAGTTTTTCTACTTCCATGATCTCAGATAGGAAAAATGGTGGCATTCCTGCTCATAGGAATTCTCCTCTTCATTGCTTTCTGTTTTATATTGAGGAATGGAGGGACGACCCAATTTCAGCCGTGCATTTCTGCCACTGGAGACTGCAGTACATGACTTAAGCAGTGCTTAAGAGGAGGCTCAGTCAGATGAGGACTGGAGGGGTTTGCAAAGGGGAAATCACACTTGGCCAACCTGATAAGCTTCTATGATGAAATTACTGGCTTTTAATTACATAACTACTGGATGATTGGGCAGAGTGCACCCCCAATAGGTTTGTTCATGTTTCCACCCTGTGAGGAATGGCTGATACACCACAGGGTTGTGCTGCCATCCAAAGGGAAGGAATCTCAACAGGCTGGAGATGAGATACAGCCAACAGGAACCTCAGAAGTTCAGCAAAAGCAGTGCAGAGCCCTGCAACAGTATTTCCTGAGGGCTGACCACCAGGAAATCAGCCTTGTACCAGAGGAACTGGAGATTCCAGTGGACACCAAGGTGAACATGAGCCAGTTCTGTGCCCTTGTGGTAACAAAGGCTGGTGGTACCCTGGGCTGCATTAGGAGGGGTGTGGGCAGCAGGCTGAGACAGGTGACTCTTCCTTTCTACCAGCCCTGGTGAGGCCACATGCAGAGGCACAAAGCTACTGGAGACAGTCCAGCAAATAGTCACAAAGACTGATTAGGGGACTGGAGCACCTCTCACACGAGGAAAGGCTGAGACAGGCAGGACTTTTTAGCACAGAAAAGAGAAAGCTCAGAATGGGTATTATCAATATAGAAATACATGAAGGGAGAGTGCAAAGAAGACTGAGCCAGGGATTTTCCATTGACAGGAATGCAGCAGCTGACAGTGCTGTGTGTTCCCTGTCACAACCAGAGTGACTGGTGATCCCTCTGCCTTGTCATGGTTTAACTCCAGCTGCCAACAAAGCCCTACGAAGCTGCTCCCTCACTTCCCACCAGTGAGATGGGGGAGAGAATCAGGAGAGTAGAGTGAGAGAACTCATGAGTGAGATATAAACAGTTCAGTAGGTTAAGGCAAGAGCTGTGCACACAAGCAAAGCCAAACAAGGCTTTCATCCACCACTTCCTGTGGGCTGGCAAGTGTTCAGCCATCTCTAGGATAGCAGGGCTCTGTGTGCAATGGTGACCTGGCAAACACCATAGTGTGGAGTATCCCTGGGGGCAGCTGTCCCAGCTGTGCCAATTCCTTGTACACCTCCATTCTGCTCACTGAGGGCTGTGTGAGGAGCAGAAAATGCTTTTGCTCTGTATGAGCACTGCTCAGCAAGAACAGAAACATCCTGGAATTACCAACACTGTTTCCAGCACAAATCCAGACTATAGCCCTGTACTACCTACCATGAAGAAAAGTAAGTCTATGCCAGCCCAAACATTTATTTATTTGAATATACGAATACTTCAGTGTGTTGTGTATGATCTTTGATTTTTTAAGACCATTTTATTTCCAGACCAAAGCCTTGATGTATGTATTCCTAATGGCTACCCTTAGATAGAGCCAGAGGCAGTTTCATTGTTCTCAGCTGTGTTGCAGGCAATGCATGTAGGAGTCAGATTTAGCAGGGATGAACCATGGGATACATGAGCTTGTGTCTCTCAAATCCTTTTCCTCTATGAAACAGCAATTCTAAATCTTCAGCCCTATTAGTTTGCATGTCAGCAAAGATGACTCACTGGAGTGGCAGCAGGCCAAGAAGTATAGTTTTGCTCTCCTTTGCTGAAAATTTAAAATAGCAAAATTTGGTGCCTGATTAATATTACATAAATATGCAGATTCTTCTAGCATAAAAGCTGAGAGGTATAAAATCAGTATGCAAGGATGTAATTTATAAGAAAACTTCCCCCATGCAGGAAGGTGAATACCAAGACAGGCTTCCAGAGATGTCACTTCCGAAGCACTGGTGTGCTGTTGTGCTGCCACTCTGCACAAGTGCCATTTAATTTTGCATAAAGGTGCTGATAAAGAATTCAGAATATATTAAATGCTGTTGTTTGAAGGGTGTTTAACAGCAGGGCTAAGACAAAAGAAACTGGCAATTAGGTACATATTTAGCAGTCTTTCTGCAGGCATCTGGAGTTCATTTCAGCAATAATTCAAAAACCCCAGGATACTTTCTGCCTCCTGCTGCTAAGTGAATGTAGGAGTAAAGCTGCTATTTTCACTGACAAGACATTTTGCTTGTGAAATTCTCCCACTTGCACATAATCACCGTTCTAGCAAATTACAACATAGAACACAACTCTCCATGAGTCAGGGAGAACATGTTGCCTTCTCAGGTGATATAGGATTGTAGGGAGAATGAAAGCAATCTCAACCAAAAACTTAATATAAAATATGCAAATTCTTGGCTAGTCTAATCAGACTGGGTAAAACAGTTACTTCTAGCTCTCAGTTTATATTTATTTACCAAGGCACTAAGCCAGTTAAATTAAGGCTCTTTAAAATTGCTTTGACTAGTTACTAGCATGCAGTTTTCCTGAGTTTTTCTCTTCTTTTGATTAATTTTATAATGAGTTATATTGTCTGGGAGGTAAAAATCTGTGTTTCAGGGAAGTGTTGCTGACAAGTACTGCTGTCAAAATGTGAGTACAAAAGCAAACAGCCTTGGCATTCATGACTTGTGAGGCCTCAGCATGCACATATTACATGAATGCACTGAAAAATGTAAAATAGTGCCTTAATAGTGCAGATTTAGATGAAAGGCTAATTGAAGCAGATTTCAAAGAACAGAGGTCATGTTCTGCATATGCTGTCCCCCAAGTTCTCATTTAGGCAATTTGGTATAATCCAGGTAGTCCATATTATGCCCTTCTGTTCTTGATCTCTTTGTACACTGTCAGTGTCCAGAGTTTTGTATCACATTAAAAGCTGTGAAGATGGACAGTCAATTACTTTGATTATCACATAGTCTTGTATTGTCTTTGGTTTAGTCTTATTTGATGCCAGTAGGTACATCTTAGATGGATCTTGTGTTTGTGAGTCTGTTTGGAAATATTCTGGGGGAAAAAAATGGAAAAAATAATTCTCACTGTTAAAATTCAAAGCTGTTTCAGGTGTATGTCTCCTCATCAACTGCAGTGTATGGCTGCTAAATGAGATTTTGGTGCCAATGTGCTTTATATAAGTATGGGTCGGCCAATCCTCAGAAAAAGCCACTTTGTTCCTTGCTATTCTTCCAATTTTAAAGCTTGTTCATGACTGTACACAGTCTGGCTCATGGCTGTTATCTATTTGTCTTTACGTGGCAGTGAGTGTCTGCATGAAGCAGACAAGCCTGGTGTGATTCTACAATTAACTTCTGTTCACAGTGGTGAGCTGTAATGAGCCCGAGTTACTCATTACCAGACCTGCAGTCACCTCTGCATGACTGGCAGACCCGAGTTCCACCCCTGGCTGAACACTAGTGTGGGGCACAGCCCTGTCACTAATCCAATAGTGATACAGCATTGCCAGTTTGCACCGTTCTTTCCTTTCATTTATCCTGAAATCGGCTTCTCTCTGAGAAAACAGGGCAATGCAGAACCCCATAAGA